ATCTTTTTCTCCTCTTCAATTGGAAAAAAGAACCACCAAAATCCCCTAAAAAATGAGAAAGTTATGCCCTTGCAAAGTCAGGCCAAAATAAAAAACACAGTGAAAATTTCGATCACCAAGATATCTTAAAATCTAAGTAACCTCTCAAACTTGCAATTCTCCTCAAAATCAATCATTAATGATCATCCCACATGAAAATACATGTCAAATGCTTCATGTTGACCAAAAGTCCACCTGGTTAACTTTGACTTTGTTGACTTTAAGTAAAATGACTATTTTACCCCTTTGATTCAATTGAACCACTTCTCTTCAAAATTGATGATCAAAATTTCAAACATATGATATTCCAAACACATAGATGCTACGAAAGGAGTTTCAACTCAAAAATTCCAAAGAATCCCTAATTAAAACTCAAACCCTAATTTTGACTGATGAATCAAAAGGAAGTGATTCTCCTTATAACAGCACAATACTCAATCTTCTGATGATCCAATGAGGCGGATAAGATACCTTGAGACATGTGATACCTTTGGGCTTGAAAGATCCAGAGGTTTATATAATAAGGCTCTCCTTGAGAAAATTGTCAATGCAATCAATCTTCCAAAGCTTGAGGGAGGCTTGATAAACCAAAATACCATGATCCATACACCATGTATGAATGCAATGCAATATGATGTTTATGATGAAACATAAGCCTGAATCAATAAGGTAAATTTTAGGGTGCAACAGCTGGTACCTTTTGTTAAGAGTCCCCATCGGCTGATCTCTTTTCGTTGTTGAAGATTCCCCTTTGGCTGGTTTATTTACCCTTAAATCCACCTTCGGTTGGTACCTTTTGTTAAGAGTGCCCTTCCGCTGGTCTCTTTTCATTGTTAAAGATTCCCCTTCGGCTGGTATCTTTTCATTGTTAAAGAATCCCCTTCGGTCGGTTTCTTTACCCTTAAAATCCACCTTCGACTGGTACCTTTTGTTAAGAGCCCCCTTCGGCTGGTCTCTTTTCAGTTGAAAGTCCGCCTTCGACCGACGTTCTTTTCTTAGGAATCTAATTTCGACATAGTATTCCTTGTTAAAGATTCCCCTTCGGTTGGTTTCTTTATCCTTAAAATCCATCTTTGGCTGGTACCTCTTGTTAAGAGTCCCCTTCGGCTGGTCTCTTTTCATTGTAAGTTCACCCTTGATCGGCGTTCTTTTCCCCTTAAATCCACCTTCGGATGGTACCTTTTATTAAGAGTCCCCTTCGGCTGGTCTCTATTCTTTGTAAGTTCGCCTTTGATCGGAGTTCTATTCAGAGTCACTGTCTATTTGTGACCCCAGTAAGTTCTCCTTCGATTGGTGTTCCTTCGTTAGTGCCTTCTTCAGTCGGTCTCTTTCTTGTGTATGTCTAACCTTGACCTGACATCCAAGAAATTTACTCAGGTAACTACTGCAATCCAAAAAAGCAAAAAAAAATAGAAAATACAGAAAACCAAAAATATAATAATACCTGATTGGTTTCGGAGCGCAAATTTCCGGGTTGTTTTAAGTATTTAATCTTCTTCCATCTTGAAGGTTCGAAAGGTTAGCGCCAATATCACCTTCAGGTTGAAGGCGATTAAATAGGGGCAGTTGTTGCACCCTAAAATTTTCCCTCCTAATTTCAATTCTATTTAGCCTAGGCTTAACTTCGCATTCATATCTTTTCGTTAGGTCGCTAACATGGCATACATTTTGCATTTCAATAAAGCACGCGGGGTTAATGTTCACTGGTTGTGCGATATCAAGGTTTCACAGTGATTAAAGTGTATATACTTGGTAAAGCTGATTACTTATAACTCTTCTGGTTATTCTGAAAGCAGTGAAGTTTGGAATTAGGGTTGTGACGAGTGGTTGCCTTGAACTTTTTTTCCTTAAGAGATAAGGCCATAAGGGTTTACTTCCCTATGTGCAGTCAAGGTCAAGTTTTTTTAGATACTGTGTTCGTTGAAGGTTTCTTCTCCAAGGACCATGGTTTAGGGTTACATCTTATGACTATCTTGATTCCCTCTCATTTTGAATTAAGGACATTCATCCATCCCTCAGTTAATTAATTCAGGTTTGTTTGAATCATGGGTTAAAGATACTTCATCTGGATGTTTCTTCGTGTGTTTGAATTGAGGAATCAAGGGCGTGGGGTGTGGTTATCAAGATTCCTTTCTTGTCAGGATATATTTGTTTTTATCCAGCCTCGGCAAGTGCTGCAGTTTTCATTTGTGCGACTAGATTTTTCATGTCAAGGGAATTCCTATGGGATTCAGACCTTAACGTCCATCTATAAGGTGTTCCTCATGACACTAATTTCGAGTGGAGATAAATAGTTATTAAGGGCTAAGGATTGAATTGAGAAGCGTGACTCATGGCATAAGATATGAATTTGTGGACTTACTCTTAATCAATGCAATACGAGCGGTTTTGGATGCAAATAGACTTCTCATTAAAGGATTTATGCAAGGTGATTCAAGGTTCATTCATGATTTAATTCAGAGAGTTTATTCGTCTTGTATCACTGTTCATTTTATATGATAAATCAAGGAAAACCTGGAAATTAAATGCGAATGGTAAAGGAAGGACCCATTCAAAATCCATTCTAGTGGTTACTTTAGTTATAGTTCGTCAAATTGGATTAACTTTTCTTAAGAGGCGAGTGTGTGGATTACTTAGAGTTCGAGCTTCGGGAAAAAAAAACAACAAACATAATGGGCGTAGTGATCATTCATTTGGTTCTAGTATTTCTGGCAGCAGAGATTTAAAAAGTGCATCTAGTTCATTTGAATCATCTTCATTTGTATAATAAAATTAATCATGGTCACAGATTGGCTAATGGAATTGCTGAACCACAATGTTTTTCTCCTAGTGGGAACGTTAGCCAACATTTTAATTACTCAAATCCACAGTTTGATAAACAAAAATTTCATTGTTAAAGATTCCCCTTCGGCTGGTCTCTTTTCATTGTTAAAGAATCCCCTTCGGCTGGTTTCTTTACCCTTAAAATCCACCTTCGACTGGTACCTTTTGTTAAGAGCCCCCTTCGGCTGGTCTCTTTTCAGTTGAAAGTCTGCCTTCGACCGGCGTTCTTTTCTTAGGAATCTAATTTCGACATAGTATTCCTTGTTAAAGATTCCCCTTCGGTTGGTTTCTTTATCCTTAAAATCCATCTTTGGCTGGTACCTCTTGTTAAGAGTCCCCTTCGGCTGGTCTCTTTTCATTGTAAGTTCACCCTTGATCGGCGTTCTTTTCCCCTTAAATCCACCTTCGGATGGTACCTTTTATTAAGAGTCCCCTTCGGCTGGTCTCTTTTCTTTGTAAGTTCGCCTTTGATCGGAGTTCTATTCAGAGTCACTGTCTATTTGTGACCCCAGTAAGTTCTCCTTCGATTGGTGTTCCTTCGTTAGTGCCTTCTTCGATCGGTCTCTTTCTTGTGTATGTCTAACCTTGACCTGACATCCAAGAAATTTACTCAGGTAACTACTGCAATCCAAAAAAGCAAAAAAAAATAGAAAATACAGAAAACCAAAAATATAATAATACCTGATTGGTTTCGGAGCGCAAATTTCCGGGTTGTTTTAAGTATTTAATCTTCTTCCATCTTGAAGGTTCGAAAGGCTGGCGCCAATATCACCTTCAGGTTGAAGGCGATTAAATAGGGGCAGTTGTTGCACCCCAAAATTTTCCCTCCTAATTTCAATTCTATTTAGCCTAGGCTTAACTTCGCATTCATATCTTTTCGTTAGGTCGCTAACATGGCATACATTTTGCATTTCAATAAAGCACGCGGGGTTAATGTTCACTGGTTGTGCGATATCAGGGTTTCACAGTGATTAAAGTGTATATACTTGGTAAAGCTGATTACTTATAACTCTTCTGGTTATTCTGAAAGCAGTGAAGTTTGGAATTAGGGTTGTGACGAGTGGTTGCCTTGAACTTTTTTTCCTTAAGAGATAAGGCCATAAGGGTTTACTTCCCTATGTGCAGTCAAGGTCAAGTTTTTTTAGATACTGTGTTCGTTGAAGGTTTCTTCTCCAAGGATCATGATTTAGGGTTACATCTTATGACTATCTTGATTCCCTCTCATTTAGAATTAAGGACATTCATCCATCCCTCAGTTAATTAATTCAGGTTTGTTTGAATCATGGGTTAAAGATACTTCATCTGGATGTTTCTTCGTGCGTTTGAATTGAGGAATCAAGGGCGTGGGGTGTGGTTATCAAGATTCCTTTCTTGTCAGGATATATTTGTTTTTATCCAGCCTCGGCAAGTGCTGCAGTTTTCATTTGTGCGACTAGATTTTTCATGTCAAGGGAATTCTTATGGGATTCAGACCTTAACGTCCATCTATAAGGTGTTCCTCATGACACTAATTTCGAGTGGAGATAAATAGTCATTAAGGGCTAAGGATTGAATTGAGAAGCGTGACTCATGGCATAAGATATGAATTTGTGGACTTACTCTTAATCAATGCAATACGAGCGGTTTTGAATGCAAATAGACTTCTCATTAAAGGATTTATGCAAGGTGATTCAAGGTTCATTCATGATTTAATTCAGAGAGTTTATTCGTCTTGTATCACTGTTCATTTTATATGATAAATCAAGGAAAACCTGGAAATTAAATGTGAATGGTAAAGGAAGGACCCATTCAAAATCCATTCTAGTGGTTACTTTGGTTATAGTTCGTCAAATTGGATTAACTTTTCTTAAGAGGCGAGTGTGTGGATTACTTAGAGTTCGAGCTTCGGAAAAAAAAAAAAAACAACAAACATAATGGGCGTAGTGATCATTCATTTGGTTCTAGTATTTCTGGCAGCAGAGATTTAAAAAGTGCATCTAGTTCATTTGAATCATCTTCATTTGTATAATAAAATTAATCATGGTCACAGATTGGCTAATGGAATTGCTGAACCACAATGTTTTTCTCCTAGTGGGAACGTTAGCCAACATTTTAATTACTCAAATCCACAGTTTGATAAACAAAAATTTTAAACAACTATGCTGCTGAAAGTCAGTAGCCCATTGGTTACTCTCGTCAATCATTACATGGTGTACAACAGCGTTCTTATGCCCCTCATATTGGAAGATTATTTTCTGGGCATCCTGCCTATGCCTTGGTTACCTTTGGGTTGTTGGAAAACTCAAGATAATGAAAGCTTCTGTTCTTTTGAGCGCAACATGTGGAGGTCAGAAGAGCGCCATATTGTTTCTGTGTTAAATTTGATGGAAGTTGTATCAGGAAGCATTAGCTCTTCTCGTATTAGAAATTGCGCTGGTGTTTATTTTCGTGCACTTGGGCAGCAATCTGTCCCAGGTCCATTAGTTGGTGAAAGTTTCGGAACCAATACGAGAGACCGGTTCATCCGCCAAAACCAGATTATAGCAGTTTTCTTCCATCACAAGAATTGCAAACCTTCATCAAAATACTAGAACAAATTTAGCATACTTTTTGTATCACTAATGCATGCGATGTAGATGAATCCATCCGGCCCATGCGCGTGAAAATACCAAGATTCAGACTACCATACCGTAAAAGTATGCAATTGATTTACAGGCTCCCTTTCACTTTCAAATTCCAAGGCAATTGAGTGGATATGTATTTGTACATCATGAGCAAAAACCCTATGATAAGTCATGTTATACCCTGCTACAACGAATATCATCTGCCATGTCAACTTGGTGATCTAAAACCTGTTCTATAAAATAAAACAACATGTTACATACCTGCAAGAGCAGACCATTATTACATCCAGCCCAAATCAAGGCACATTCAATACAAAAATCACACATAAAAAAAACTCATCAAGGCATTCAATTTCAGTATGGTTCTATCAAAGAAAAATTAGAGTGTTTACATCCGAATAGTTGATGTATTATAACTAATTTTTCCACCATGAGAGTTAAATAAATGTCTTGAAGCAAATTTCATCTGATGAGAGATAAAAACAGAGTGAACCTACTGCCTCACCCACGGTCTACTATTATAGCAGCATTTAGTCAAGATGGGAAAGCGCTTGCCTCTTCACTTGGTGACCATACAGCAAAAGAATCATTGGTTGAGAAACTGGATATTGCTTGAAAGTATTAGCTGAATCATGAAGGTCATTTCATACAAAAAACGTTCCTCTTAGCATTGCGTCAGTCAATCATTTTTACTCAAAAAAAATGAATCAAAAAACTAGAGTCGATAAGAGAAACTATTAGCAAGGTACTTAGTCTGGGGAGTCTATTGATGAATGACTGATATAAATGGGATATAACGTACCGTGCACTTGCAGCTGCTTGTGAATTAAGGGAAGTCTATGCTTGCTTGGATACTCAACGACTTGATTTCATCATGACTCTAACCTTGTATGATGAGAAGCATGAGTGTCGAAGCTTCATATGAAGTTGACAATCACTGCCTTTGGTCAGGATCTCTTCTTGGTAACTTGATTCGGCCCTCGCTCAAGAATTTTGATCATTTGGGGAGAATGTTGAGCCGTGGGTAAAGATGGCCGAGGATGGTCCTCATGAACTGCTCTTTGGATAGAACGTGCTTCATTTTACCACTACAAACAATGGGGGAGAAGGGGATGAGATTATGCTAACAATATAATTATATAAACCTATAACAGAAGCATATTTCTAGATAAATTTTATCAAAGAAAGAGAAAAAGCTAATTGTCCGTTAATTCTCTCTAACTCCCTAACCTTCTAACCAATTCATAACAGATTCTAACTGATTCAGTTTCAAATTAGTTACAATAGAAACTAGCCATAACAGAATTTTCATTATTTCCCTAACTAACAGTCACGGTAGAATTCTAATCTCCTAACTAAACTTCAATAAAATTTAGCAGCTAAATAACTAAAACTGACTTCTAACCGATTTAATCCCTACCTTTGATTTCCTAACTAACTTTTCTCATCCAATGGCCAAGATTTCTTCAAGCCTCAACTTCATCTCTATATAACTACACCTCACCTTTAATCTCAGGGGGGGTTTCTTTTTTGGCTCATACTTCATCTTCCACCTTCTTTCTTCAACTTCACCTTCAACCTTCGTCTTTGAATCTTTTGATCAACCGGAACGACCACCCTTTAATCTCTGTAACGCATCAATGCAGTCTCATCACATATCAATGCTTCATACAGCAACCACCTCACACATTTTACAAGACTGGATTTATTTCTCAGTATCCTTGCTATTTGCAATCGGAAGATTCGTAATAGAAGACAAAAGGCCAAGAAAAAGTAGCAGAAGAAGAAGAAGAAGAAGTTCAAAGGCAAAGAGGAGTGTTCGTACCTGATAATTCAAGACTCTTTGGGTTTCTGCTGGTGTAGTCACCGTTGAAGAACCGCCGGAGCTACTCCAGTAGGTAAGCTCTGATCTCCCTCGTTTCGTCGCCTTTTTGCATAAAGCTTTTTGCCACATCATGCATCTTGGCTTGTTAAATGATTCCTCTAATGCTTCAATCTTCAAATCGACACTGTTATCGTTTAATTTCAGTTAAAAAAACTCCTAGGGTTTTCTGTTCGTTTAAATTTGAGGAGAAGTCCTAAAAAGTAGAGGTGGTATTTGGAGATGGAGGGAAGGGACGAAGTGGTTGGTTGGAGATCAGGTTTCCGATGAATGTAGGAGAGGTCGTAGCGACGTAGTACGATGGCGGTTCAAAAGAAAGGATGAAGCAACGCGGTTGGGGTTTTAGAGGATAGATAAGAAGCGTTCTCTCGTGAAGTTGAACGACAACGATAACCCTGGATGATCAAAACGATTGCGTTTCATCATGTTTTTTCTTGTTTTTTTTTTTTTTTCATTTTAATAAAAGAGGGCTGAATAAGAAAAAGAATGTGTGTTGTTTGGAGGCAGAATTGGGCTACAATAAACATGGCCTCAGAATATACTTCTTTGAAGCCCAATTGATCTTTTTTTACAATAGACTTGTAACAAAAATGTTAATGGACCGATACATGTGATGGGCCTTGCATTCTTATGGAAACCATTTTTGGACTATTTGGAGGGTTATAGCAAAAAGACTGGTTGTGGACTTATTGTTGGATCAGGCTTAGATCTTGCAGGACATATTTTTGTTTACTGCATGTACCTCCTGGTTTTTAGTTTTCACCCTCCTCTGACTTTAGAAGTTTCACAACCTTTTTTTTTTTTTTCCTTCTTTTTCTTTTCCGTAATTTTGTCAATATAATAACAACATAAAAAATATATATTAGAATTTAGGAATTAAATAGGAATTTATTTTCCCCCTTTTTCTAACTTTTTTTAGGCGATTTTAATCACTAGTTTTAATTCATTTTACGTCATATATTCGTTTGCAATCTTTGGTATTATCTTGGTATGAATTGTGGATGATTTTGTTTTTATTTGTATATTTACCATGCTCCCTTAGGTTTCTAGTCCAATTTTAATCTATCGATTAAAATTGAGTTAAATAAACATTAGGATTGTTATTCAAGCATGTCAATTTAGGGTAGAGATTTCCCTTCAAATCTCAACTTTATGACCACCATTGTATGATAACATTAGGGATAGATTTAGGTTAGTCTCCCCTTAGACTTTTCTTTCCCCTTTTGCATTTGCATTTAAAACAAAAACTTCTTTTTCTTGTAAACTTCAAAACACTTAAAAATTACTGATGAGAATCATATCTTTGTTAAGTATGGGAGATGACAAGCGGGTTTCTTCTCGATCTTATTGTTCTCCTATTCTAAGCTTTGGTTTGGTTCAAGTCTCAAAGACTTATTTCATGAATAAGTAGAGAAATGACTAATATCTCTATCTTGAGATTAACTAGCCATTATATACAAGCAAAAACACCAACAAATACAAACTTTTTTGTGCCTTCGGGCTTTTCTTTCAAACTTTTTCAGAAAGAACATGTTGATTCACTTATGTCCTGACGCGTAAATCTCCAAAGGTCGAGTTGCGGCAGAAGGCGAAATTAATTTTGTTCATTAAAAAATACAAACCAATAAAAACTTTTGAAGCCAAACTACAGTTGCATCATTCCTTAAAAGAGATACGTAGGCATTGGGGTAGGGCCCGAGCGAGCACAAATTTTATTTTCCCTACACTCTTTTCTCCTTTCTTTTGCATGCATTCTTTCTCAGTAGTAAACAGTAACCATAGATATAACACACCCATTAGATTAGAACAATAAGAGTGGATACCGTAGAGTACTATGGGCGTATGGGGTGCTAATACATTCCCCTTGCGTAACAGACTCCCTTACCTGTATCTCTTGGTCGTTCGACCTTGATTTCACCCTTCTAAGGTTTACTCGATGTTGAACTTTCCCTCTTGCGGGATAAAAAACGTTCGATGGCGACTTTATTGATTTCATTATCAGTTGATTGTTCAGCCGGTTGTTTTAGCTGGCGACTTCACTAGGGACAAATTGACCTATTGCTGGTCCATCCCGGAGTCGATCCTAGCTCTTGTTTGTTTACCTTCTTTTCTTGGGTGTTTACGCATCTATTTGTTTATATGCTTTGATTATATGCTTTCATACATTGCATTTCATTATTTCCTATATTCTGGATACTGCTGCTATGTTGTTTCTTTATGGGGTTGGGACGATACTTCTTGAAGTAAAAGGCCCAGTACCCAGGCCAGAGTGCACTAGGACACTAGGAATAGAGTGGGGGAATGACGGATATAGGACATGGTCCGATTAGTGCAGTCATGTCATATACCATGCTCGGATGAGGTTCAAATGAAGGTATCTTCATCATGCATGTTTGTGTTGCGATGATTTTACTTTCAGGCGAATTAGTGATTTTTGAGTTACTCTTGCCTTACCCTGACTTAGTCTTCACCCGTGAGTAGGGAGGGACTTGATCATTACAGGTACCGATGGTGACTATGTTCTTATGCTAACCACTTTGTTCTGTTGGTAACTCTAGTGAATCTGGTTCTGATGGTAACTTGGTTCTATTGGCAACCCTCTTTTTGCTAATACTTTGGTTAATGACTACTATTTATGACTATCTCAAATCTTCAACCTATGATTCTATACAGCAGTACAACAACATCCAGTATTGTGGAAACCTTGATCCCCTCATGATTACATCATAGCATATTTACTTCTCAAATATATATATATATATATATATATATATATATATATATATATATATATATATATATATATATATATATATATATATATATATATATATATATATATATATATATATATATATATATATATGTCGATGATTAATCTGCATGTGCATTGTCATTTCCAGGATCTTCCACGAGTTTTCTTCTCCTCTAAAGAATGGCAAACAACACTGATATCATCGTAAATACCAAAAGGGATA